ATAGCCTAGGGCAGGGGCAATAAAAGGGGGCAGGGGGGGTGGGGGCAAAAAACCTAGAGCTGGCTCTGTTCCTACCATTCACAGCAAGCTGCAGATTTCAGTGCCATATTCCTTCCCCCACCCTTTCCTGTTGCTAGTGGCCAAGGGAATGCTGGGAAATGTAGTTCTTTCCCTGCTCGAGGGCTGGCTCTATAGGCAGGGAGCTAACCAAGGAACTACAACTCCCAGGGCCCCCTGTTGGTTCTCAGCTCCCATGCTGGATTCTTGCGCCCCTTGCAAATCTGCTGCCCCAAGCAACTGCTTGCTTTGCTGGTGACTAGAGCCAGCCCTGATAGTACTGATTTATGTCTGATCAATTTGGCCTGCTGACTTCAGTGAGAACAGGATCTGGCCTTCACTGATCTTTCTGTAATCTCTCTATTTTAATATGTCCGATGTATCTCCTTTCATGATAACAAAAGTATTGTAAGCAGCAGTGCTGAGTATCTGATGCTTCATGCAGTCCTGGTCAGCACTACTAATGGGGGAGGGAAGGAGAAGGGCAAGGAATGTTCCAACATTTTGGAAGCCACAATTTATTACAAAGTCTTCTCTAAAGAGGAGAATTAGTAGTGTTTAAAATTACTTATGGTTGTCTTCAGACACTGAGCCTTGTTTAAAACATAACTGGTCATGTTCCCTTCTTGCTATGTTGACATTTTAATATATACCTTTATGTTAACATTTTATTCCAAATACATAGGTAATAAACAGAAGTGTGGTGTTAAATCTGATTTGTTGTTGTTGGTTTCTCTAATGCTTACCTAGTCCTCCATACTCCACTACAGTTCCTACATTTTTCTCTACCAAGCTCCTTTCAGCTTGGTAATTTGTGAGGGGGTTGAGGTTTTTAATTAAAAAGGGGTATTTAAATTAAAACTGCAGTTGTGCATGGTCTCTGCATTTTTGAGCAGGTGCTCAGCTATCACAGCAGTAGTGTAAGTGTCTATGCAGAATGTACTGATTCCCTTGGCTCACACAAAATGACCCAGAGCTTTAAAGAGCTGTACTTAAGGCTCTTCGTACTATTGTGTAACAGTCGCATAACATTCTTAGTAGCTAGAAAGATGAACAGAGCAGTGAACTCCACTGTTGACCTTAAGGAACATTACTTCTCTGAAGTCACTTAACCATCATGGAGAAGAGGTTTTACAGCATCATCTATGTGGAATTGACTTGGCAAGACTCGGAAACTAACTAAAATGCATGGAAACACCATCTCTCTGCCCCTTCTCAACACAATTTCTTGACTACGTCCTCAACTGCTTCCAGACCCTTAGCATAGATGAGCTTCTTAGCTACAGAATGAAGATCCAAGACTACCTTTAAAAAAAAAGGGGGGGGGGGCAAAAGCTTATTGTGGGTCTTATTTTTAATTATATATAAAAGCAGTTGAGCACCCACACCCCTAATTAAACTTTATAGCAGTTATAGGCACTCAGAAGCCCTGACATTGACAATCAGTACCCGATGTACTAACCTGTTTCTAGATGAAGCTTCCCTGTGCTGTCAACTGCTTTATACATTTCCATTCAGTGGTGCTTTGTTCTACTCTGGTCTTTATACATGGAAAGTAGGAAAATTTTAGCCATGTTACACATGCCTTTTTGGGGTTTCTTGATCTGTTGTAAGACTGTCCAGTCTAAGCTTCAAGCACAAAAGGATAGGGTGTAAAAGCAATTATCGGACTCCCTTTTGTAGCACAATATAATACTACTACTTTATAGGGTAAAGAGGACTCTCTGCAAGTTTCTTGAAACCATAATGTTCAGAAGAAGGTGGGTGGGGGTAGAGGGGTGTGTGTGTGTGTGTGTGAGAGAGAGAGAGAGAAATTAGGTGACAAGGTCTTCTACCATCTAGAAAGAAGACACCACTGACCACATACAGCAATTAATATTTTCCAGCT